GTCAAGACACCGAGCAAGCACATTAAAAGCAGACGAGGAAATCGGGCGGCTATACGCATGCGCTCACATCGCCTGCGATAGGTAAGCTCACACCCAAGCACAACCCCCTTCTGCTCGAGGGAGATACTAACACACGCACTCTGCCAGACTCAAAATCAGCCTAGATCTCCCCCCAATCGAACCCCGACCGCCAATTCCCCCTCGAATCTACAAGCGCCTCTACAGCCACCTCGACAACATCCTCCCCAACACAGCCCTCAACCGCACCCCAGGCAAGAACGGCACCCCGCGCAACAGGCAACGCCACGGCGTCGACTCCCCCGTCAGGACACCGCACCGCCCGACCCCGACAAAGGACAGATCCCTCGCGCAGTTTCGAACCGGCGGCAACTCGGTGGCAAACGGCAGCGTCCCCAACACCCCGACGAAATCCACGGGCAAAGTCGCCTACCCGTCCGACAAGTCGGGCCTCCACTTTTGGATCCAGCCGACGATCCGCCTCATGTGCAGGGAAACTAACCAGAAGCACCTGGCACCGACGATGCTGGCTGGCATGGAGTACGTCGTCGTCCCCGGCGGGCTGCGGACGCGTGACGCCTGGGTGCGGGAGAACCTGGTCGCGCTGTGCGGCGCCGTGTATTTCTTTGTGGCGCAGCAGGTCCGGAAGCTGGCGACGGGGGAGGATGTGGATCGGGAGAACTACGTCCCTGCACGGAAGCAGGTGCTGGAGCTTTTGGCCAAGGCGAGGGAGGAAGTTGATGCGCGCGGGTTGGACGAGGATGAGGTGTGGGAGGGGTGGGCGCCGGTCAAGAGCAAGGACTTTGATGCTGCGGTGAAGGAGGTCTCGGAGCGGGGATGGTTGGACGCGGATTGGTATCGTAGTTTGGGGGATGTGATTGAGGCGGGCCATATGATTGCTGATAGCCATGGTCGGGGAGGGGATAATGCGGGTGCGTACAAGGCGCCTGTACGCGGGGCGGACACAATGTTTCTGGAGCGGTATGATTTCTTGAGCGAGAAGAAGCGCAGGGATTACAGAATATGGAAGGAGAGTATCCTGAGGAGGATAGACTTGATGGAGAAGGAAAATGGTGATGCCATGGAAGTAGATGGCTAGGGGGGGTGAGAAGGATATCAAATACCACGACGAAGATCCAAGGGAAATGCCTAGACTGGGAGGCACTTTGTCATATGAGGCTGTTATTGTGATTAGCGGAGCCGGTCTGCCGGACGCGGCGACGATAAGCTGGTCAGTTGGCGTTCGAAAGAGGCCATCAATCTGTTCGGTCACTGTTGCTGTGAACTATCACGACACTTTCGCGGAAGCCCTTCTACAACTCCATGGAGCACTGCTGAAGCTCCCCAGGGGGTCAACCTACCCTCTCATTGTTCCCTAAAAGTCATGCCCATGTTGTTAGCCCATGCTGTAGGACTGAAACTCTAGCTTCGATCGTCGGAGTGAACCCAACTCTCTCAAGCGTATCGTTCACGCGATTTTAACCTGGAATATCCAAAGTTCTCAATGGCAGCGCGAAGTACAGAGTGAAAACTTCAAATTCTATAAACGATATGTGCATGCTACTTCTTTTTCAAACCATCGTCATGAGCATCATCACAAAGAACTTCTTCCCCCTTTCCCACCCCAGGCCAAGAATCACTGATCGTCCTCAAGCCCAACCATCTTCAAACTCTCAACCCACAACCTCTTCTCCGCCTCGGGGTCAAACGCCGCCGGCGCGTACCCCGGAGCAAGCATCCCAGCATCAGGCTTCATCGCCTCCGCCTCGGCACAATCCTCGAGGTACTTGCCGCCCTTGCCCTCCCACTCCTTGGCGACGGCAGCCCAGACGGAGGTGGCGGCCCCCTGCGCGGGGCTCTTCATGACCTTGTGGACGGCCGGGTCCTTGATCATCTCGGTGATCTCGGGCTGGTGGCGCTGGAGGGGCGTCTCGATGCCGCCCGGCATGAGGCTGAGGGCGTGGAGGCCGCGGGCGCCGTAGCGGCGGTCGAGCTCGTTGGCGAAGAGGATGTTGGCGAGCTTGGCCTGGCCGTAGCCCGCCCAGGGGTGGTACTCTACAGTGTGGTCAAAGTTGAAGTCTTCGAATTGGATGCGGCCGCCGCGGTGGCCCGAGGAGGAGACGGAGATGACGCGGGAGTTGAAGGTTGGTGTTGAGGAGGCGAGGAGGGTTGACTTGAGGAGCTGGAAGAGGAGGAAGTGGCCTGGATTTTGGGTGTTAGTGGAATTGGAGTCCCCTCTGTTGGCATTGTGAGTTGAAGTGCCTACCGAGGTGGTTTGTGCCGAATTGGGTTTCGAATCCGTCTACGGTCTTTCCCTTGGGGCAGGCCATGACTCCTGCTCGTTACATTAGCTCATGTTGAGACCCCTTTTCACCCGTCCCCTCCTCAAATATCACATACCAGCATTGTTCACAATGACATTCAGCTTGTCCGACTTTGCCAAGAACGCCTTGGCGCCCTCCCTCACGCTCTCGAGAGATCCGAGGTCCAACTTGATGACCTCGACCTTGCCGGGCTTGCCATCCGAGAGAATATCCTTGGCGACCTCCTCGCCCTTGGCAACGTCGCGGACGGTGATGTAGACGTCGGCGCCGGCGACGTGAAAGGCCCTAGCGGTTTCGGGGCCGAGGCCGCCGGGGGAGCAGCCGGTGACGATGACGACTTTATCGGTCCACTTTCCGACGAGGCCTTGGTCTTCAACAATTTGGACTCCCGTGGGGCGGCTGTCGTTGGGACCGGAGGTGTCCTTGTGTTGTTCGGCGTAGGGTGCGAGGATGGACATGGTTGCTTTTTTCGACAGAAGGGTGTGTTTTTGTGATTTATAGCTGTGGACTTATACGTCTTCTTCGTGATTGTGGAGTAGGTTGTTTGTTGGAGTTTATGGTTCTTCTGTGCGTTCTTGTTGATCTGATTGATGGTGATGATGATTATAATTCGAGGTGATGGGAGGTTTCGTCCAGTATTTATTTACTTCGTCAACCCCATGTCTTGAAGTTAGTTACATGACGATGTCTCATGGGGATGCGGCCGACGCGGCCGCACTGACCGCATGGGATGCGGAATGCCTGGAGCTAATGACCTTAAAGCCGCATTTGCTAGGGGAATTTCTGGATTTTAGAATTAAAGTTTAGTGGCATCGATGCCATCCCACCTTCTTTCAAGTTCCCGGTGGGATTGCTATTGATGCACCAGAAGTAGTTGTAGATTTTGTCTTCTGGAGAACCTGAAATTCATCGTGGCTCTTTGCTCACAACTTGAGAATAAGAGCATTGTTGAGCACTTCCTATACGGTTCTATGTAGTCGATACTTCCTAGCACCTTGTTTTCTGAGCCTGATACCCGTACTCCACGGTCCGTCGTTAGGTAACGACCAAACATTTCAACAGCTAGGTTCTGTCGACTTGGCTGCAAGCTCCTGACCGACAGTCGTGCGGACAAAGGTCCGCATTACATAACACCCCGCGAGTCCGCAAATGTGGGCATCATTGCAGGATGCGGACAGAATTAAGACCGACGCGGGATTGAAGTTGACTAAGGTAAGGTACGAATACGTAATCAGGCCGGAATTAGGCGATAAGATGGCGGTGACAACCAGCCTTACGTAAGGCACATTAGAGGGAGTCTCAGAGGAGATATCCAGCAATGGAAGCACGTGATGGCGGGATTAAGGTCTCGAGGCAGACGGCACGTGCATCTCGACCCACACCTGCCTGAGAGGCATCAAGCACCTCATCACAAGCAAAATAACCTCGTCCATCCCATGTCCAGACCCAAGATGACGCATCGAGAGCCCGTGCCGCAGATTCAGTCCGATGATTAACAAGGTGTGCTGACAACCCGAGCCTGAGGTCCGGGACAGAGTCAGCAAGTCAGGTCCTGAAGTTCGAAACTCGGATCGATACCGAGGGCCGGTGTCGTCTGTGATTGGAACCCGGGGGCGGGCGGGCAGCTTTTGGGAAGCTCACCCCTGCTCCCCGCTCTTATGGACCCTACACCTTTTGAGGTTGTTCGTAAGTCCGGGGTGCCCAGGGCTGTGCAGGGCATGGCGAAGCTTCAGTGCCCCCAACTTTCCAGGGACCATGGAGCCATTCCCAAGGTAGCCTTCCAGGGTGGGTGAGCTGAGGAGCTATACGGATGATACGGATAGACGAAGCAGGTGAACAGCTTATACGTGCTTATGTACAGAGCGAAATTTTCTCGCCTAGACCGGAAGAGACCGGTAGCGAGATGAAGCTGAGGAAGACGAATACTGGTAATCCGAAAATAGAGCACGATGAGCAAGACATGTCGACTAGATTTTGTCGCTGTTCATGACATGCGAGTCGCGTCATGAATAGATTGAAACATCACCGCGGCTGTTAATCTCCACGTTATTACAAGTGCTTACTCGGTTCATGACGTTACCAGCCAGGAAGCACCTTGGAAGTTGACAAGAGAAATGTCCTGGTCTTGGTAAATAATTTAGTACATTAAATGCGTGCGTTCAGATACGAAACTACATATCGATGAATAAGGTACCAGGGAGGATGGTATAGGTACGGCTTTGAGTTAGGTTGCTCATGTTGAAGGTGTTCGCCTAGAAATCCTTTATTACCAAACATGGGAAAATACAAAAATCGATGCCCAGTGCACTTGCAATAACCACGGCCTCAATCCCAAACACCGGGTATGCGAATGCAGGAAATAGCCATCTGCTTCCCACTTTCCACATTCTGTTCTCGCTCCTACCCAGATAGGTGCCAAGGCTCTGCTCTCAGGCTGTCAGGGTAAGGTAGAGCTAGAACTTACACGAGACACTGCAATCGTGTTGGAGGCATTCCCCGCATCTTTCCAGTGCGCCAATCGTCCCAGCAATCATTCCCTAGTCCTTAAACCCCTACCCCTTCTAGGCTTCCAGGTAGGTAAGTATCTCTCCCTAAGTCTACTTCCTTGTGAGTACCTCTTCCTGGTCCCAGCCGCTAATTTGAGTCGAATCAAAACAGATGATCCAGAAAGCTTCGTTGGAAGACGCAATGTTGGCTTCCGTTCCCTCCGCCGTTGGACACCTGTTGGTCAAGGAACCGATCCAAACCAAAACATCCCCCCAGATTCCCGCTCAGACACCGTTATCCGACACGCAAGCCATCACGACGACTGGCCCTCCAACGTGGACACCGGGCTCTGCTTTCCAAGTCCCATACTGCCACAGACGCACTCATCTCAAGTGTGGCTCAAAGGAAGAGGCAGAACCACCACGAAGCCCCCAAGTACACTCCTTGTACCGATCCTCTCATCTCTCTGCTGCTCACCCCCCTGGTAGACAACCCACAGCTCAGCGGCTGAGCAGCATACTGCCCAATCACTACAAACATCGACACACCAGCGGAGAGTGAAGCGAATCCCACACAGAGCGCAAACTGCCGCCTTCGGAGCCTGATCCATTGCAGTGCAAAGCCCAGCATAACAGCCAGTCAGTACTGCACGAATACCAACAGGGGACTTGCCATCTTACACCCATATCGACGTGCATTGGTGCACATGGGAAGCTGAGTGTACTCCCCAAACACCTCTTACACTCCGAGGAAGAGACGAACAACGAAGGGAAGAAAGGAAGAAAGGGCACAAGACAACGAGACAGCGGAAACAACGGCGGATCAGCAAAACAAAGTTGGCATAGACAGACCAAGGGCCGTGTGCAGTGCCCATCTCTACCCGCACAGCCCCCCGCCACATCGGGCCCCTCCACCAACAACCAGCCTCCCAGTCTACTACGTCTGTACGGATCCAATACGTCTGAGTATTCCGTACAGATACCTTACCTCGAGAAAGCTGTGGTGTCTACTCCGTCCACCCTTAAATCGCCAAGCTCAGTGTGCCACTTGCACGACTCCATTCGCAACCCACCACTCATCCCAGAGCTTCCCTGGCCCGATTTGACCGAGCGAGCCTCGCGTGTTGCTGCTTCCGTTGCGACCGCTGCTGCTGCTTATGCTTGTCTTGGGAAAATCGATGCAGAAGCGAGAATAAGCTGCATCAGCCCAGCTGCACCCACTCAGAACTTAGGTGCCCTGTTTAGCTGCTTCACCTTGCTGAGGTACACAAGTCGCGCGACCTTGTGGCCTGGGCTGAGAGGTCTTGTTTCTGCTGGTCACTGCTCTCGATTCTTCTTCTTTTCCACCCCCCATTTCCGCACCCTCTCCAACAACCGCCCGCCGGTCACATCTCCAGACTCCGGAACAGGGCGCCGCTTTCTCCAACCCCTCCGACCTGACTTTGCGCCAACTCCCATCAACGCCCATCTCGACGCTGGAACGCGCACTGCTAGCAGTACTCGCCACAGCGCCCGGCCCGACGAAGCCAAACCCCAGGCTACCGGCCAACTGCGATCCGTTCATGTAATGCCGCCGCTTGGCCTTGCGCTCTGCTCTTGCTGTTGCACGTCCCCGATAGCTTGGACTCAACTGTCTGGACCCCACACCCACCAGGCGGCAACGCGCGCAGCGCCTAGGAAGCACGACTGCCGCCCACCGACACGCATGAGAACCTCACCTCTATCATCCGCCCAACGCCATTACCACTTTCACGCCGACGAGAGACGCATTCTGGATACTCTGGCGATCCAGCCAGTATGGCCGCCTTCGTGAGGGTTTCTGGTCCGCCCAACAGCAGCTTTCTGGTCGGCTACCCGGGCATTTCTGCGACGCTAGTACGTTGGACCCTCTGTGATGACGTCGGGGAGGCTGATGTGGTCAAATTACCCTTTGCGCGCTGTTTGCTGACACCTTTCTTTGCTCGCAATATAGCCCCGAATCGAAGGCAAAGTCGAGATCCGTCCATCACAGGGCTATTCCATGCCCGTTTCCGTTTCGCTGGTGCGCATTTGTCTACAGCGGAGAGAAACAATACACCCCGCCGCCGAGAATGTTGCGAAGAGGCACCTGGGAACCCCGAGAAGGGAAACGACGGACGTAGTCGGCAAAGAGCTTCTGCTGTTCAGATGTCAATCAGGAAAGGATGCTGAGAGCGTCATTGCGATGGATTTGCCGTTCGTCCTGTTCATCCCGTTTGGAAGAGGTGGCGAAGAAACGAACCGACGAATACCCCCGGCATCATTGCAACTCCCCAGCCGAACGGCCGAGACGTACTACGAGCTTGTTGTTACCGTGCAACAAGGACACACCCTACAGAACAAATACTCCTTTCCTATACCACTCCAGCGATACGACACTTTGTCGACCTTCGGCATGTACAACAAGCCAGAGTCGAGGCAAGTCAGCGACGCAAGCGTTGTCACACTGGGCATCTCGGTCCCCAAATGGAGCTACGGCCCACTAGACCCGATAACAGTCTATATAAAACTAGTACCCAACCCCGACTGGATGAAGAAAGCGTTGAAGGTTACGATTCAGAAGATCACCGTCACCATCGAGGAGGAGATCACGTACAACCCAGAAGGCGACGAGCCTACGAAGAAGGTCAACAAAGTTGCCAAGAACACGCAGTTGGTCAATACGAAAATGCCCGAGGCTGGATATGCAACAAATTTGGGCTTAGTGTTTCCCTCAAAGGACTTGCGCGATCCGGACGGCATCATTCGCAGAGGAAAACCGGCCTTTCCGCTCTATGAAGTTACTTCGTTCACGACGAGCTCAACCTTGTACAAGATTGAGTTTTATTTGACGGTCAAGGTACGTCTATCAGACTTTGCAATAACTTACCCATGCTCACAGACTTCACTAGGCGCAGCTAGGATCGACCAGAGATTTGACCGTCAGGCAGCCGCTGGTTATTTGTCCAATGGACCAGCAAGCGTGTAAAGAGGAAATGGACGCCATCGAACAGGCTGCAAAGGACGCCTCGCATGTCGACCCGAACAACCCTATGCTCCCTGCCCGGGCGATTGTTTTAGCGAACGACCGAGAGTCTCTCAAGACGTTGGGATTATGTCTGGTGGGAGGGCAGAAGAAACCGCTGATTGAATGAACGACTGGCCGAAATCGTACGGAGTAATTGTATGAATTGCGTGGCGGAAATCTTGGCGCCGGGCTGCGGGGTACGAGACCAGCCAGTCGAGAGGGCTGGCGATCTACCCCGTAACAGCAAGCTTATATCTGATAGGGCTGGTTGGTTGCATACTTGCTTCTGCTTTCCAGTCACAGATTTTGCAAAGCTGTGGCCCCGTGACAAGGTCGACTGAGCCGGCGCAACTGTCGGAATTGAAGAAACCTGCTCAATGGATGGGAGGAGGCCAAAAAGGGAGACGGGATTGATGTGGTGGCGACCGATTCTGCGCCATGCATACGTACCTGGACGGGGGAACACGAGTTTTGGGAGGAAACGAATAGCCCTCAATGGTTGGGTATTCTCGTGTCACAGCCAAGGGGCCTGCTGTCGGCGTTTACACGGACGGCCCTGCGGTAATTCGACAGAACATGACATCATCATCACGGCACGGCACGGCAAGGCAAAGGCGTTGGCGGGGGTCTTCCGGGCGAAGAAACACTCGAAAGAGCCGGTAAATTCAGGCTCCTTGTGCATTTTGGCGAAGCACGTTTGGATGGATGTGATTATCATGAGATGACGAAACTTGGACGAGGAGGCGATGTGTGTGTCTTGAGTTGAGTTGCCAAGGAGAGGGAGACTTTTTATTCGAAGTTGTACATATTACTCACGAATAAGAGACGTAAAGAGACAAGCAACTCGGGAGGTTGGATGATGAATCGAGGAGTACTCCCATTTGCAACATGCACTCGAAGTGAGCGTAGACTTCATTCATCCTTGCCAGGGACGAAAAGCGGCGATATAAAACAGCCAAGGTAAGACGCATTCTGAATGAATGAAATTGCCATTGAAGTAAAAAAAAAAAAAGTCTCCTGCTTTATGCGTTGAAACACTATGAATACACGTCCGCCCCTTGCCCCCAAACATTCCTGCATCTGCGTTTCCTTATGGTTTCCGGTCTCTAATCCAGACCATAAAACACACCATACACCAATCATCCCCCCGTAGTTAAAGTCTTCTCTTTTTTTGTTGGTTCTTTGATACATGCTTGATAAGAAGTGGAGTCGGATACACGCCTCTATCGGCCATATCGATCAGGTTGTCTCCCATAGCCATCTTGTGGACGCAGTTGACCGCGCTGGAGCATCTCCTGATGTTGTATCTCCCGAGGATCCCGAGGATCTCGGGGGTCGCGGCTCATTTCGCGCATTTGCATCTCTCTAGGATCCGGAGGGTAAGGTCCCGGAGGCGGGCCACGTGAATCGTATCCTACGGGCGTGTAGCTCCGGGGTGGCATCTGGTCCCGGGGATCTCTAGGCGCGGGCGTCGATGCATACCGCGGCGGGTACGCCTGTTGACCTTGAGGCGGCATTGGCTCTGGTGCGCGGGAGACGGGCGGGTAGCGACCTTGCATTGGGTGTTGGTGCTGAGGCGGGATCTGACCGTACATGGCCGAACCTCTCTCGTCTCGCATCGACATGTGGTGCCCCGGCGGCGGTTGTTGTTGTTGCTGTTGAGGTGGTCCGGAAGCCCAGGATTGTTGCGGCATGGCCGAGCCCGTCGGAGGTGCCTTTTGCGCCGACATATGCGGAGAGGCCCAGTTTTGAGGAGGAGGTGCCTGCTGAGGTTGCTTAGCGGGCTGCGCATGTGACGCCGGTGGCCATGAAGACTGCTGCTGCGGCGGTTGCGGCTGGCCCATGACGTGTCCCTGAGGTCCAGGAGCCCATGCCGATTCCCTGCCTTGTGGGGGGAGCGTTTCGCGTCTGGAAGCCGACTGATGTACGGCGTACTGAGGCGGTGGCGAGCCAGCATGGGAAGCAGGTGCACCGTACGCAGGGTACGTAGTCTGAGGTTGATAAGGATCTCTGGGGTCCCTGGGGTCACGCGGATCACGAGGATCACGAGACTGGGGCTGCGGCGGATAAGGCTGCGCTACCTGAGGAGAGTTCGTCGCTGGAGGCTGGTGGTACTGATGGCGGTAGTAGTCCCTCTCGACGGCTTGCGCCGCATCATGAGGAGATGCAATGGCTGATCTCGGGGCGCTCATGTGCTGCGATTGGGGCGAGGCAGTGTAAGTCGGCTTCAGAGGAGGCATCGCAGAAGCTGAGGGAGCATTCCGGCCATAGGGATAAGCTGCCTGAGGAGGCTCCCGCTCTGGCCGTAGGGGAGTCGGCACCGGCGCGGCAACAGGTACTCTAGACATGCTTTGTGGTGGCGGCGTCGGGGATGGCTTGATTTGGGCCATGTCATTAACACGCTTGGGCTGAGGCGGGGGTGTAGGAGCGGCAGCAGCGGCAGCCGCTGGTGGGTCGTCGTTGAGCAACGACATGATGTTGGATCTCCTGTTCTCCGAAGCTGACGAGCGAGGCGGGGGCGCGGCCGCTGCTGGCGGCGGCTGTTGCTGCTGGGGAGGAGTGCCATAAGAGTCCATATGGGTGGGCATAGGTCGTTGAGCTGCAATGGGCCTTTGGCCAGGGGGTGTTGAGACAGACGGCTGAGGGTCACCCAAGAGTCGTCCACCTGGCTGAGGCATTGGCTGGCCGTAGCCTTGCGGGACTGGGGTAGCCGTTGCCCGCGGCGGCTCGGCAGGCTGTCTCGCCACAGGTGGTTCAGATCGAGGAGGCGGCACGTTGCGCACCGGTTGCTGACCATAAGAGAATGGCTCGTAATGATGCTGCGGCGGTGTCATCTCAGGCTCCTGCTTGAGGCGGGAACGTTCGGCCGGGCGTAGGTGTTCCTTGGCTTGTGCCTCGATCTTCTGCCTCTCCATCTGTTGCCTCTCCATTTGCTGTCGCTCAGCTTGCTGGCGCTCGATCTGCTGCCTCTCCATCTGCTGTCGCTCGATCTGCTGCCTTTCGATAGCTTCTCTCTCGAGCTGTTGGCGTTCGAATTGCTGTTGCTCGATGCGCTGGCGCTCAATCTGCTGGCGCTCAATCTGCTGCCTCTCAAGCTGTTGACGCTCCATCTGTTGCCTCTCGATTTGTTGCCTCTCGATTTGTTGCCTCTCGATTTGTTGCCTCTCAATTTGCTGCCTTTCCAGTTGCTGTCGCTCGACCTGCTGTTGCTCTATACGCTGCCGCTCAAGCTGTTGTCTCTCCAACTGCTGTCTCTCAACTTGCTGCTGCTGCTCAATGGCTTGTCTCTCCATCTCACGTCGCCTCTCGGCCTGTTGTCGGTCAACCAGCGGGTCAGGCTGCACAGACTGCACAGGTTGTGCGGCAGCCAAAGGCCGCTGCTGAGCGGGCTCGGTGACTGGGGCCGCAGGTGGCTTTTGCGAGATCCTGACTGGTTGAGGGGGTTGGGTCGACTCTCGTTCTCTCTCCTGGAAGCCAAAGGCCTGCTGAGGAGGTGCTCGGGGTGGACGAGCAACCGGCGACCCTGACTGTGATACTGGCTGGGCAGCTGGTTGTTGCTGAGCAGGGACTGGCGCCTGTTGAGGAGCTTGAGGAGGGGCCTGGGTGGCAACCACGGCAGGCGGAGGAGCTTGAGCAAGGGGCTGTGGCGGTTGCGGTTGCTGTTGCTGTTGCGCTGCCGGCGTCGGTGGTGCCGGCGTAATCGGCATCGCAAAGCGACCAAAGGGTGGTGCTCCAGGTTGTTGGACGGGAGGCTCGACCTTTGTCACAGGAGGCTCGCTCGGCGGTTCGGATGCAGTCGTCGGGGCGGGAGTGGCAGGCGCGGAAGCAAGGGGTCGATGTGACGAAGCCCCAGGCGTTGAATCGTATTTCTTGCGTCCACCGACAGTGGGCGGTGGTGGATCTGGTAGCTTCTCACCTCTGCTTCGTTTCGCGTCAGCCTCGGCAGCGAATTGCTCCCACTCAGTCTTGCCCTGGTCTCTCTGTCTGACGAAGTAGTTCTTGACCATGACAGCTGTCTTCGAACCCATATGGCCCGCAATAGCTACCCAGTCAGTACCGAAAGACTTGAGTAGCCCAGGGAAATCATTTGCTTCAGACACACTCCAGTAGCTGGACGCCTGACTGGGGGCACGACGTTCGGTTTGCGGCTGAGCAATATCGAAAGTCGCAACAGTCGGTTGCGCGGGAGGTGGTGGTGGCTCGGGCCGTAGTGATGGAGGCGCCATGACTTCGGATATCGGTGAAGGGGTGATGGGAACAGGGCGCTCCTGAACAACCAGAGGGGCCTGTTGTTGTTGAATTGGAATCAGAGGAGGCTGAACGCCGGTAACCGGGGCCTCGAATTGCGAGGGCAGACGATTCTCCATAGGCACAGGCGGAGGCGGCTGGAACTCAGTGTTCTGAACTCTAGAGTTCGAGCGAGATCTTCCTTTGCCTGTAGCGGGCGTGGGTGCTGCTGCAAGAGTCTGCTGAGATTTAGGCGCCTTCGGCTCCTTGTCTTTGGCTGCCCTCCGTCCGCGCTTCCTACCGTCGACCTTTTCGGGATCAGCCTTGGCTCCGCGCCGGCCGGGTGTACCGGCTGGTGTGGCGTTGTCGGAATCCGTGGGCGGTTGCTCGAAGCCCCATGTCGGGGCAGCAGCACGACGTGGACGTCTCCTTTCTCCGTTTTCGCCGTTCTCTTGGTTCTCCTCTCCCTCATTTTCGGCGTTGCCCAGCTCCGAGACAAGCGCGCTTGAGCGGGTCTTACCTCTACCCTTCTTTCTACGCTTGGGTTGCTTTCTAAGCTTCTCCTTGAGGTTGAGATCCTTCTTCATCAGATAGTAGTACTGAATACAGGTACCGAAGTTGCGCTTAGGTACGTTTTCAGCGACGACTCCCCATTGCTTCGGGTTCGTGAGATATCTCTTCTCGAAGAGGTCTGCTTCTTCGGGGGTGAAGTTGTTGATTGGCGGCATAATCTGCCAGGCAGGTACAAGCTTCTCCACAGGCGTGAAACCGGTGGTGTCCTTGAAGAATTCGTTGTCCCGGTCCTCCTGTCTCCAGTACATCTCGGGAATGACGGCTTCTTTCTCACTGCGATACTTCTCTTGCATGGCGCGTTGTTCCCTCTCTTTCCGTTCTTCGTCT